AACCCTGCGGATATGTTGACCAAAGTTGTTTCAGGTGTTAAGTTTGGTCATTGTTTGGAGCTTTTGAACATTCTTCGGTGTTGAGGCCTTTGGAGGCCATTTGGGTGAACTACGTGAGGCTTGATTCCTTGGGCAAGAGGATACGTAGGCAGTCTTTAGATGCAGCCGGGTTGGATTAGTTGTTTTTGATGGGGGAGATTGATTGAGCTCTTGTTCCGGTTCCCAACTTGTTATGGATTGAGTCCGTTGTCATGGAATTTATTTCACTTCGTACTAGACGTAACAAGTGGGACATTTGGTTGCTTTGGTGTCGGCTCGGTTTTGGGAAAACTTCGTCGAGGTGGAGAATCGTGAACGTGTGCGGCAAGTGTGAACGCGCGTGGGGGCCATACCCACGTTCAGTAGCAAGCGCGTGAGGAGATAGTGGGGATGTGGGGCCCACCCCACGTGAGACTCCCTCCAGCCCAGCGGGTTTCGAGTTTGGTTTTTGGCCTGGATTCTCTGCTATAAATAGCGTTCTTTTCTAGGGTTTCAAGAAGAGGAGAAAAAAAACTACAGAGGGCTTAGTCGGCTAGGTTACTGCAGGGGGAGAAAAAGGACGCGTGTGGGAAAAATCAGAGGTGTTTTTCAAGCGGCTTTTGAGAGAGAAATTGAGAACTTGTTTGAGGGTTTTATTTGTGAGACTTTGTGTGTTTGTAAACCCTATTTGTATTCTCTTTTTCTCTAATAGTAGATCTCCACCCTCCTTGCCCCGTGGACGTAGGCAACTTGCCGAACCACGTAAAAATAGTTTGTTTTGCTGTGATTTGTAATAGATTGTTAGGTTCCCTCGACAAGTCAGTCCTAGAACTGATGAGAGGAAGAGTGTATATCCCACTTTGTTGAGATATATCACTTTCGATTCTTGTTTCCTTGGTGAAACGGGAATTTAGTTGTGATCTTACTCTCTTGTTGTGCACCAGAAGTGCTCCCGAAATTCCCGCTACGCACAACACACCCTTGGTAGATTCTGAAGTTTTTAACTTTCACGCTGTGTTAATTTATAAGATTTTTTTTATTAAATTGTCAATATATGCAAATTATAGCTAGCAATTTAGATATATACCACGTCAGTAACATATCAAAGTATCCTAGGAAATACATCTGTCCCCCTTTACTCTGACTTAATACGATATAAGTAAGAAGGATTTTTTTATAAAATATTTGTCCGTATATATCTTTAATACCTTCAAATTAGTCCCTCAAATCATTGAAGTTGCTAATACATCTCCCCGTTCTCATAAAGTCGTTTCAACTTAACCCCTCTAATAGCTAATTCTAAGTCTGTGTTTATTCAAAACTGACATCAAAGTGGACCAGAGCGTAATGATCTCTGATGATTCCAGAAAGAAAGCAAACAACGGATCAATACTCTAAACTGAAATTTTTCGATCATCGCCATCCTACTGATATTAGTACATAACGAAGCAATGGTTTTTCAAAAGTTAATTTCGTATTACCAAAATTAAAACAATATTTGAAGAACTAATGAAGGATTACCTATTGCAATCCTTAAGGTACGTGAAATACAAGTACAACCACGGCGCCCTGTAGTAGCAACAACATCAAGATATTGAAACCAGATCAACTGAGCAAGTAATTTTATGCAAATTATAACTAGCAATTTGGATATATATATATATATGTCAACACATCAACTGAAAGTAACCTACGAAATACATCAGTCCCCCTATATTCTGTTTCTTAATACAATATAAATAAGAAGGGTTTTTACAATATTTGCCCCTTATAAACATTTAGTATTATGAAATTAGTCCCTCGGATCGCTGAAATTGCTATCACATCCGCTAATTCCCATAAGTCGTTGCGACTTAATTAATTCCTCTAATAGCTAGTTCTACTCTTGATTGATTGGAGGGACTAAATCGAGCAACTCATAAGAATCAGGACTAATTTCACGATGATAAATAATTAAGGAACCAATACTGGAATCATAAGAATCAGGACTAATATTTTTAAAGAAGAAGAGACATACTGGCATCAAAGGTCTCGTGTTCAATGGTTAAAAGAAGGTGATTCCAACACTGCCTTCTTCCATAAAACTGCTTCGTTTCATAGGAAAGCCAACTTCATAGCTTCTGTTAATTACCAGGGCAGAGATTTTATAGGATCTGATGATGTTGCAAAGGCATTTTACCAGTACTACCGTGATCTCTTTGGGAAGAGTAAAAACAATTGTTTTCAGATCGATTGGAATTCCTTATATCCTGAACAAGAGTCAAATCTGTTGTCTTTAGAAGAGCAATTCACTGAGACAGAAATAAAAAAAGCAGTGTTTGGAATGAATGCAAATAAAGCCCCTGGGCCAGATGGATTTTCTATGGGTTTCTATCAAACCTTCTGGAATTTGATTAAAGATGATCTTGTTGCTTTAATGCATTTTCTGCATGATAATCCATCTCATCTTCACAGGATTAATAAAGTTTTCATATCTCTAATTCCAAAGATTAAGGATTGCACTATGGTGAAAGATTTCAGACCTATTAGTCTTATCAATTGTATTCTCAAGATTTTTACTAAAATCTTGGCAAATAGATTATCAAATCATATGCCATCCTTAGTTGCACCTACTCAATCAGTTTTTCAAGCGGGCAAATCTACTCTTGATTCTATTCTACAAGCAAATGAAATGATACACTCTTGTTCAAAAAGGAAAAAAGAAGTTGCTATGTTCAAAATTTATTTTGCAAAAGCCTTTGATTCCATAGATTGGTTTTTCCTTGTTGACCTGTTATAAGCTAGAGGGTTTGGTTGCAAATGGTGTTCTTGGATCTCTAATATTATATCATCTTCCAATTGTTCTGTTCTTGTCAATGGCTCACCATCTAAATTCTTTTCTTGTAAACGTGGTCTCAAACAAGGTGATCCTCTTTCTCCTATGTTATTCAATGTTGCCGTTGATGTCTTGCATAAAATGATCATGAATAATGTTGAAGAGGGTCTTTTATCGCCTCTTGGACTTCGGGAACCTCTCAAGCATTTAAGAATACTTCAATTTGCCGATGACACACTTCTCTTTGTTAGAAGCTCTTCAAAGGATATTTCCATTCTTAAAGCTATTCTTTATCTCTTTGAGGACATTTCTGGCTTGAGCATTAATTATTCAAAATCATCTCTTATATACTTTGGAAGGTTTTCTTATAAAGCACATAATCTTGCATCTTCTCTGGATTGTAAAGTTGAACATTTACCTATCAAATATCTTGGCCTACCTCTCAAGTATGGCAAACTTTCAAAATCAGACTGGCAACCCTTGTTGGATAATCTCTTTAGAAAGTTAGCATCCTGGAAGAAAAACACTTTGTCTTATGGAGGAAGGCTAACTCTTCTGAATTCAGTTCTCACATCAGTCCCTCTGTATTTTTTATCTTTCTATAAGCTACCAAAATGGCTTGTCAAAGAAATGGACAAAGTCAGGAAATACTAACAAAAACCATCAAATGTCTAGTAAATTGGAAAAAGGTTTGTTTAAGTAAAGAAGAGGGCGGTTTAGGTGTCAAGGACATTAACTTGTTCAATGACTCCTTATTATCTAAATGGTTATGGAAATATCTTGATAAAAACTCATCAACAGGTCTCTTTATCCGCAAACTATATGGCATTGAGGGTTCTTTGTTGCAATCCAGGAAATACAATGCATCAAATTCACATTTTTGGAATGCTGTTTTATCCTTCAAGGATGCTTTTCTCCATAACGTCAAGTGGTCAATTGGCTCTGGAGATAATGTCAGATTCTGGGAAGATAAGTGGATAGGGTATAATACCCTTGCTAGTATTTTTCCTGAATCCTATAGATTAGCCCTCTCCTCTAATGTCTCTGTCAAAAGTCAAGGAAATTTCTATGATAATAAATGGCAATGGCACTTGTTGATGAGAAGAAGTATCTCTCCTGAAGCTCAAGCAGAAAAAATGAGTATTCTCAATCTTATTAATAACTCAGACATATCTCAAACCTATGATCAACCTCTTTGGACTCTTACTTCTAACATGCAGTTCTCTGTAAAGTCCTTTTACAGTTTTCTAAATCAAAGAGGAATAACCAGCCCACTATACAAAGTTATCTGGAATCCTATTGTTCCCTCCAAAGTTCGTTTCTTTCTTTGGCTTCTTACAAAGAACAAATTGCATACAAAAGATGTTTTACATCTAAAAGGGTGGACTGGTGACTTAACTTGCTCTTTTTGTGGTTTGGAACCAGAGTGCAGAGATCATTTATTTCTTTCATGTCCTATAACCATGCAAGTTTGGGATCATTTCAGGAAATACTTCTTACCATTCAATTGGTCATTTGCCTTGGATGAACTCTTGCTCTGTCTTGAAATTTTACATGAGCCTAAAAAGGGCTTCTTTGGCGTTCTATTCTTGCTTCAGTTTGTTGGAATTTATGGTTAACAAGAAACAAATGCATTTTTGATCAAGCTCAATTCTCCTTTAAATCTATTATTAATTCTTCAATTTCTGCCCTGTATGATTGGGCAGGCTCTGCAAGAGGATCGGCATCACAGAAGCTTAAAGTCAAATTGGAGGAAAAACCGATACCAAGAAGCATATGATATTTCAGAAGTGTTGTGACTGAGATCTGTTTTGGGAGCTTTTGTATTAGATATACTCTTTGATCTTTTCTTTTGTGCTATTGGGTTATAGAAAGTTTAGTTTCTCTTTACTACATATATGGCTGGCTTTTGTTCTTTCCTATATCTGTGTCTACGGTGAATGACGGCAAGGCCCTCTCTTCACCTTCATGGATGTTTAAAAGAAGAAAGTCATATATCACTTGTTTTGAGAAACTACTTTTTCTATCCTCCAATCTACGGATACACCAAAGAAGAAAGTCATATATCACTTGTTTTGAGAAACTACTTTTTCTATCCTCCAATCTACGGATACACCTTGTATCCTACTTTTGTAGCAAATCTTGGTTTTTAATATAATTGACAGGGTATATCCCTTGTTTTCTCTCAAAAAAAAAATTTTGTAGCAAATCTTGGTTTTTAATATAATTGACAGGGTATATCCCTTGTTTTCTCTCAAAAAAAAAATACTGGAAAAAAAAACACTAATAAATAAGAAGAAAAAGTGAACTAATTACCAGGGCAAGAACCGGTGGAAGTCCCGTTAGCGCAAAAACAAGTCCGATCTGTGTCGTCAATGAGACGATAGTAAGAATTTTGACCGGCCAAGCAGGCGATGTTGAAGATACTGGAGATGGGGCGGGAGACGGAGGAGTAGGAGCAGTTGATGAAGACGGTGATTTTGCGGTGTTCGCCGGTGTATAGGAAGAGGGAGGGGTCGAGGGCGGAGTTGGCCGAGGAGGGCTGGGGGCAGAGTTGGTCGAGGAAGGCGGGGTCGACGAGGGTGAGAACGCGGTTGGGGACGTCGAGGGAGAGGACTTGGTAGGTTTTCTTGGAGATGGATAGGGTGAGGGTGTAGCCGGGGAGGCCGGGGAGGCCGCAGGAGTCGAGGCGGAGGGAGTCGGGGAGGAGGAAGGGGTAGGAGACGGTCACGGTGGTGGAGCCGCAGGTGTAGTTCCGAGTGCAGAGAGGAGGCGGAGGGGGAGGCGAGGGTGGGGAGGAGGAGGAGGAGAGGGAGGAGTAGAGGGAGGAGTAGGGGGAGGTGATCATGATGGAATAGGTGCATTCTTCTGAACTTACTGAGGCGAAGGAGATCTGCTTGTTTCAATTCGCTTCACTAGCTATTTGAGCTGGACCAAACTAACTAATGTTTCAGAGGCTGTTGTTGCATGGCCGCGTACAACTGTAGAGTTTAGACACGGAGATCGGAATAATTTGACTAGGATGAAACAAGGAGATGGCGGACTGTTCCTGTGATGCAATTACGCGGATAATTGTACTATAGTTGTGCTATTACTGTACTCCCACACTACACGGAGAATACTTTGACTAAAAACTCATAATTTCTCTTTACAATTGATAAGAAAAGATCCTCTTTTTTTTTTTTTTGGTATAGGAGTACAAGAGTGGTATAACTCTTATGTACAGTAATCATTACCCAAGAAAGAAATCGTACGGCTGTCCTGGGATACCCGCGCAAACTAAGTAAGTAATCTCAAGATTATTCATGTAGATACGTAAACTCTAGATTGACTAATGTAATTATGCTAAACCATATTGTATTGGGATGTAAATAGGCCTAACTAATTCAATCAGATATAACGAGCAAAACCGACCAGCGCGTTGCCGCGGAATTAGGGTGAAAAATATCAAAAGAACAATGGGTTAAGCATTTGGTTTTAATAAACAAATTCTCAAACCATATAATTTAAAAGAAAAAATTGATCTGATGGTGTACTGTGGGTCTAAGTGATTTTGGAAGTTGTTGGATTTAAGTTAATAGGGGTAGAGCTTTGGGTTTATAAGCAAAACCTCTTCTGGAAATAGGTGAATTTAAAATTAAATAGGGATAAATTTTTTAGTTTTTAGGGATAAAATGGTATTGCGACATTGGTGTGAAAAAAGTCAAAAGAATTAACAGTTAGAGAATTTGGTTTAGAAATAAACCAAAATTTTAACCATTCAGAAAATATAGCAAGTTACGACAGAAAAAATAGTAATTTTCAATATATAAATGCTAAAATATAAAGCTGGTTCGGAAATTAATCTGGTGGGATATTTCTGGTTATAATACTGATTTTGATAAGTAGATGGTTTTGAAAATAAAGGACAGCAAACTTCGGGTTTATAGATCAAAATTCTTTTTGGAAGTAGATGGATTTAAAATAAATGGGGATAAAATTTTCGGCCATAGACAAAAAAACCATCTACCGTTTATGATGTGCTATTTGTTTAAGGATTCGATTTTAAAATACACAAAATATATAACCACTTAGAATAAATTATAGCAAATTATAGTTTAATAAAGAATTATGTTCATTGGATCTGAAGGATACCAAAACTCACAACATATTTTTTACGTGAATATGAGAGAAAGAAATTATGCATTGATGGTCATTTTTTAATGTCAATTTTTTTTTTCAAGTTTGAGATAAACGGGGACTTTAGATATCTTGCAAAAGTCTTTACAACATACCAACTATGTGAGTACTTTTTGTATAGTTAAATGAGAAATGCAAGAGCCTTGAGGTGTGAAATGTAGAAATAAACAGGTATCAATAACTTTAGCATACACATTTAAAAGTTGAAAAATCATTTTTTTTTGAGGTGTGACCTGTAGAAATGAACAGCGAGACTTCCCATTTTTCTAGAATAGATAGTAATAATAATAGTAACAATAATAATAACAATAATAAATATTTGGGTCTTTGAAAGTGGATATATTTAAATACAACAAAGTAAATCTTTGGATTTTAAGAAACAATGCCCTTTATGTGAGAATTTCGGGCTTAAAAATAAATTAGGTGAAACCTTAGATCTATAGTGAAATAAGTCTAATATATATTATATATATTATTATACTAGTTGGCAGCCGCTATTCCTACGGTGTTTTATTACAGTGTAGCTCCTTTTGGGCTAAAGAAGTCAGATTAGATTAAAATTTGGGCTAATGAGTAAAACTAACTTCTTTTTTTTTAATATATATATACTAAAACTAATGGGTTTAAAACAAAACTATTTAAGCATTACTATAGCTTAGGAACAGTGATAAACCCATTAGTTTTAGTATACTAGTTTTAATACACGTGCAGTGCACGTGGTAAAGTATCAAAATATTTTTCTTTTATATTTATTTTATACTATAAATAAGTCAAATTCATCTTGAGTTCAAATATGCAAAATTAAATTATTAGATTTACTATTATTTTTATTTAAATATTATTAAAAATGAATGTAATGGATTTTTAAGCTAAACCGGGATGAATATACCTAACTGGGATATTGTAAATGTCATTATGAACTATAGTTATAGCAATAAAAAAATCACATTTCTTATTGCATTGAAAATAGAATTGCACATCATTTTTTGATATTATAAGCCTAACTGGGATATCTTAATTGATTCCTTAAGAAAAAAATATGAATTGACATAATAATATCTTCAAGTAGAATGAGATGAGAAAGCTTTTTTGGCGGTCTAAAGGTGTAGGATAGCAGGCGATTTTGTGCTGCTATCTTGCGCCCCCGCTGAGATTTTTTTTTGATTTCTTGATGGCTAAGAAGAAGAAAATCAGTGGAAAAAAAATTCTGGAGATTGGATTGAGAGCTTCTAAGTTGAATTTGGTCTCTTCTGATGATCATTCTGATTCTCGTTGTGAAGATGTTGACGAAGCTTTCATAGAAATGGGATCTACTGGTCCTAAGGGATCAAGGAAGTCTAGATCTATGGAGGAGATGCTGAATTCTTCAAATTTGGTGCATAATCAAGTTTCTGATCATCAGCTTGATCTTCTATATGGTTTTCTTGATAGCCAGCTTGATGAAGACCCTAGCTCTGATCTTGAGGTAATGGAGTCTAATCGTGATTTCAATAAGGCTTCTTGCTCTAAATCTCGTTTTCTTGGGCTGGTGAGGTTGATAAGGAGGTAAATCTTTCTAATACATCAAAGTCTTCGGTGAGGAATTCAGTTTTTTTTTCCTTCGATTTCAAATTCAGTGCAAGATCCTATTTCCGTTGGAGTTATTGGTAACAGATCTAGAATTTTGAATGTTCTTGAATCTGCTAATAAATCTAATTCTACTCCTAGATCTTTAAAAAATACAAAACAAGTGCAGTCTTTATCTGTTGATTCCGCTATACCATTGCAATCAGAGAAAAAAAAAAGCTGAGCAGAGTGGATTGGATTCTGTAGAAAATCCTTCTGCTGTGAATCATGAATTTCCTCCTTTAGACTCAAATAAGACCCCTGTTCTTGTTCCAGAAGGAAAAAAAAGTTGGATAAGTTGCTTTGCAAATAATAGAAATCCTGGAAGTGGTCTAAAGTTGAATTATGTGACACCTGAAGCTGAGAATTCTGTTGTTTTTGAAGAAGATGAATGGCTTGAAGGTGCTTCTCAATGGAAATTCTCTCTCATAGGCCAGGTTTTGGGACTTAATGTAAGTTTCAAGACTATGGAAGCTTTTGTTCACAAAGTTTGGGCTCTGTCAGCTACACCTAAAATGTGTATTTTAAAATATGGATTATTTCTTTTTAAGTTCAAAAATGAGGAGGAGATGAATAGAATTCTTGAAAAAGGCCCTTGGTTCTTTGGATTTAGGCGTCTTCTTTTAAAACCATGGTCAATTGATGATGATATTGGAAAAATAAAGGATAACACATATCCTATGTGGATCCAATTGCCTGGCTTGAGGTTAAACCTGTGGAATGCAAATAGCATTAGCAAGATTGTGAGTGTAATTGGAAAACCAATTACCACTGAATGCTCACTGCTAATAGGCAGAGATTAGCATATGCTCGAGTGCTTGTGGAAGTGAAAATGCCTTCTCCTCTTCCAGATCAAATAACTATTCAGGGATCTAATGGGAAAAGTTTTAGTCAAAATATTACTTATGAATTAAAGCCAAGATGGTGTAACCCTTGTAAATTGGTTGGACATGACATAAAATTTTGTAGGAAATTGAGTAGGACTCAAAAATGGGT